TAGAAAATAGCATTAACCTATGCCCAATTAAGTGCTAATTAGACCCTAAGACATGGAAAATACGCACTAGCATCAATCGCATCCACCAATGTAAATTGCCAAGGTCAAGTTTGTTTACATTCCAAGATGGCGGACGTGCTGCCCTCTGCAAAATCGCATCGCCCGCACGGAAAAGTTGACTGAACTTCAACTCTCTCGCATCCCGAAAAGATGTCGCTGCGGGCGATGCGAGCGAGAGGTGCGGGCGATGCTTGCGGGTGATCCGGGCGATGCGAGCCATGGATGAAGTATTTACTGGATTGGCAACTCTCCCTCGATTCGCGACCAAATATCGCAGTGCGCATGCGCCAACTTCAGATAGGACGCCGGTGTTTGGCGGCTATGCGTTCCAATGATGGGACGGGGTGGTTGGGTGGTTTTTGAGCAGTTTATCTTCGAAGTTCAACTGATAAAGGATAAAGGCACTGTTTTTCATAATCTTTATGAGTTGAGAAGGATTTAACTTTAACCCGCGCCCTGGTGGGGTCTGTTTATAACGCGACCTGGTGGGGGGGGGGCTATTTTTTGCCCCCCCTCGTATCTCCGAAACTACTGGACGGATCCGCAAAATTCAAACGGCGTTCGAAAGGCCTGTCAAATTTGTCGAGGGAAACCAAATTTCATTGACCTCGGGGTCACCGATGACGTCACAGGTCAGGTCAAAGATGAAATGTTTCACCGTTCACGGGTCATCTAGGGAATGCGCTATAACACCGAAGAAAACGCATTTTGTCGAGAATCAGCGATAGGGCGTCAGTTGCCTAGTACATATATTGCTATAAGAGGTCACTGACATTACCAGGTCAGGTCACAGGTCAGGTCACCAAGGGTCACAGGTCAGGTCACATGAGCCCAACTTTACTAGGGTTGTGTGATGCATGTTTTATGGCCAATTTTTCATTTCCAACTCAATGGTGTTGGTTATAAGACTATCAGGTACGACTTAGGTCACTTTCTGGTGAAGTTCAAGTCAAGGCCAGGTCAAGGTCAGGCCAAAAAAGGTCAAATTTTAAAGTTGATAGTTTTGCATAAAATGGGTATTGATTCGATGCAGCTCGTCACGGGGAGTCTAATGGTGGTCTTTGTTTTGCGCTACGAGGTCTAGAATTGCTAAAAATTGAGTTTGAAAATTTGACGTCATCAATTTTGAACAGTTTTTTCGCTGTAACTTGGCCAAAAAAAGAGGTATCGATCTCAAATTTGGTATGTAGATAGAAGGCGGTAAGGACTATCACATATATTCCGGTTTTTTCGAAATTCAAAAAACTTTTTGGATTTTTCGGCTATTATAATCAAAAAAATCTATTTTTTGATTTTTGGGGGTCAAAATCCAAAAAATTTAAAAATCCGAGATAGCAGTTTTGTAGCCCTGTCAATTCTACAGCTTTTATGTCTTTATCGTTTTTCTGTATTTGCAAAGCTATAGGCCTGACAGCTCTTCCCGCGAAACCCTTTTTTGGGTCGAAAACGGCAGAACATGACGTCACTCTGACGTCATTTCCGGCCAACCTATCATAGCCTTTGGAAAAATTTTTGGTCACAATGTGTAAAATTGATGTCCGGGAGGGTACTGAAAGTTTGGTGACGATCGGCGCAGCGGTTCTGGAGATATATCGAAAAGTCTGGAGGGGGGGGGGGCAAAAAATAGCCCCCCCCCCCACCAGGGCGCGGGTTAACACGGGGAGGGGCCGACGGGGAGGGGGGCGGGTCACTCAGGCGTCGCCGCGGCGAAAAGGCGTCGCCGCGGTTTTTTCGCGATTGATCGTATGGCGCTGGGGATAAAGAGCTGAAACTTGGAACACCAGGCCTTTGATTGAAGCCGGATCTTGTGAAATCAACCACATTTTCAGGTCGGGTCAGATCACTGACCTATGACGTCATACGTAAACCTCTGCCGTTCTGCACGGTCCTAAAATAGTTCAGTGCTGCAACTTCGCAACGCCCTCAGTGCCAGACGATTTTCACTGGAAGATGAAACTTAGCAGGGCTGCAGAGTCGATGGATTTTCGATGACTCCGACTCCCACTTCTACTCCCACTCCGGGCAGATCTGTCGACTCCGACCGACTTCAACTTCGACTCCGACTCTGCAGCCTTGCCAGTTGCCAGGTCTGCGGAGTCGATGGATTTTCGGCGGCTAGACTCCGGTTCGCAAAATCGACTCCGACTCCGGCCCCGGTCAGAACTGTCGACTCCGACCGACTCCGGACTCCGCAGCCCTGCTCCCAAGACCTCTTAACTTGTATATATTGGATTTTTCTTAAAGGGCACCTGAGGTCAGGTCGCTAACATGACCTCACCATTATAAGCCTCTATGTCATTGCGGGGAACTATGGAAACTGTTATTTTGGCGCCGGAAATGATCTCATCAAATCGAGTTAGCGAGTCGCAAAAGCCATCAATGGACTCAGGAAGACCATTGAATCGAATAATAGGTATGCAATACAACCTCCTTCAACCAACTTCGTGACCTTAGTGACTTTGATCTGACTGACCTTGACCTGAGGTCCACGACTCGAGTTGACCTTAGGTATCCATCCACCAAGCAAAGAATATAGCATTTGACGTGCTGAAGTAAGAAGAGCCCGTTAGTGCCGAAATCGCGGCTCCGAGATTATTTTATAGCGAAGTGATTTGTTTCTTTGTTTGTTTTGTTGGGTTAGGCCCTTTCGGTCTGACGAGACCAGTTCAGAGCCGGAACGATGATAGGCAGTGGCGGTGGGACAACTTCAATTAAGGGGAACTGCCGACTTTTGATCCCATTCTTTCCATGCAACGCCCATGGGGCTAATGTTAAAATGCCAAAATCAAAGGGGGTACGGTACTCCCCCCCCCCCGTTCCGCCGCCTTTGATGATTAGAATTAGGGGGAGACATTGGTCTTGGCAGGCACTCTAGTGAGTCGCCGCCCGCCGGGGCTGAGCCCGTCCGAATGGACGGGCCGACCAGCCTCCCAAGTAGGTACGGGGACCCGCAGTTGCTACTGTACACGAACCCCAACTCTAGCCGTCTGTCGTGTCCAGTAACAACCGATAATATTGATATCGACTGCCGATCCCTATACAAGAGCAGCTGAGGTTTTCTGTGCGTGCCCTCTGACAGCTATCTTTGTTCACTGTGAGGGTGCTGAGACAATTTACTCAGGGTCGCTGTACAGTAGCAACTAGCAACTGCGGGTCCCCGTACTCTCTGCACCCGGTTACGGGTGTGCTCTGGCGGAGCTGCCCGCATGGGATAAAGTTGCCCGTCCAGCCCGGATCAGGGGGTTGAGGCGTGGAGGAAAAGGATTTGACTATCCTGAGGATGGAAAACATGGAACAGTATGTTATCAAAAGATGGTGATGCGTGCATTTTACGCCGGCATAAGAGCTTGGCGACTGCGCATGCACGTCCTCTGCCGAGACAAAATGTCTTACCCCAATGGTCCGATTAATTCGTTGAGGACAAATATGGACTTACTGGACGTTCCTGACACCAGTATAACGCCTTTTGGGGCGACTAACGGAGCGAGCGAGAGGGTGGGCCTTGCACGTGCGAAATTGCAAGGGGGTACCTCCAACTGACTTGTGCACGGCACCCTACTAACTGGTCTCTAGCGATGTGCCAAATTTGGGCACAATCGGCCCAGCTGTTCTCGAGATCTGGAAGCGGCACCCTGCACGTGCGCACGTGCAAGATACGTCCCAACTGACTTGTGCACGGCACCCTACTAACCGGTCCCTAACCGTGTACCAAATTTGAGCGCAATCGGTCCAGCCGTTCCCGAGATCTGGAAACGACCCCTGCACGTGCGCACGTGCAGCAGCACCCCAACTCTGGCACATGTATATGCAGTGCCTAGTGGGTGCCTACCTACATGCCAACTTTCAGCGCAATCGGCCAAGTAGTTACCGAGATATTGCAACAATTACAAAATTGACACCTCTTCGTTTTGCACGTGGCACGTGCATAAGGGGTCACCCACATGCATCGGGAATAGTCCAGTACTTGGTAGAAGGAATGAAGCTACCCTACAAAAATTACCGCGTGTAAATCGGTCAAGTGGTTGCTGAGATATAAGCCTCGCAAAAGCGTGACCACGGCCGGCCGGCCGGCCGGCCGGCCGCTCATACAGGAAAGACTACGCTCGCTTCGCTCGCTCCGTGACCATAACTTCGTTTAAACGCACCGCACCCAGCCGTTCAATCCCTAAATTCGATTGATCTTGGCCCGCAGTTTACCACAGGGATTAGCGCCCAACCCTCCGCCGTCCTATCTCACCAAGCTTCACCACTCCGCCGCTAGGTGGCCAGCCGTGGTCGCTTACATCAAAGGCGCCGACGGAGAGTTGCCGATCCAGGAAATCTCTAATCCATGTGCGAGCGAGGCGTCAGGACGACGCGGGAAGACTGTCAGGGAGATACGATTTCCTGATGCGGGTAGTGCGAGAGATGCGTGCGATCGATGCGAGAGGAAACTAATGTATTTGAATAGGCTCTCGCATGCGATTTCCTGAACGCGGAAAGAGTCTGTTTCAGCCTTAAGTGAGAACAACAGGATAGGACAGGGCGAGCGGAACAACATTGCAGGACAGGGAGAACGGTCGAGCTGCCAGATTATCGGATTTACCGGACACGGTGAATTACGGCCAGTTGGTTTTAGGCCAAAATAATAGGATTTCTCTCGGATTACATTGCGAGTTTGTCGCATGCAGATTATGCTATATGACGGCATTCTCACCAAACGTGGAAAATATTCCAACATTATTCAAAGCTAGTGCGAGCCTCATGCCACTTAGCAAAGCTAAAGCAACTCAAGCGCAAAATCGTTCTGCAATCAACCCATCGCAAGCGCTTCAGATGATGGTAGATGACGATTCCAGACTAGATAAAAATGATACCACAGTTACATCAAAAGTCGCAGGCACGCCGTCCTATAACACACCTGCCGCACACTCATGATGAAAGAAGGAGAAAACAAAGCATCGAAGCTGCATTTTATTGCATCGACGTGGATAAGCAGTTGAGCACGACAGAAATTGGATTCACGGAGTCTCCTGGCCGACTCGCAAGTCGCAAGTGAATATCACTGCGACAAGATCCACACGGCAGAGAATGTTACGCGATACAAGAAGCATGAGGCGAAACGAAAAATATTGTTCAGGAATCGATCAAAACAGACGCAAAGCAAGAAGCCACATATTTTGATACAACCGTAACGAACCATCCAATGCATATTATGACCATCTATAAATATCATTGCGTATTATGTTGATTGCTCTCGTTTGTACTCCCGCCAAGGCACATTGCTTTTGATTCATGTTACATGCATTCACCTGAGCTCCGACATGGACTAGGTATCCGGTTAGATGTGAAAATACGAGTAAGCAAGAAATACGAGTAAGTAAGAAAGACGAGCCAGGAAGCATGATTTGATAGCATGAGTAGGAATACATGGGCAACCATCCAAGCTTATGTATGTAATAGCTGCTACTAATAGACATAGTCGATAACGCACGCGGTATATTATATCACTTATCACCTATCGATATATATATTTCAATAAATAATTACCTGGGATCGAACAACCTTTGTCGAGCTACCTCTCCTGGCCGACTCGCAAGTCGCAAGTGCATAAACCAGACTCGTCATGCACATTAGTTATGTAAAAATATCAGCCACCAATCACCGTGATGAGAAGCCTAATAACGAGCTAGTGGTAGTCTTTCCGAGCACAGTCCGGGCAAAATGTGCCGGAAAAACGATAATATGGAAACAAGTTTTTAGAAGCTATATAACTATTTGCATATTCTGCCAAATCTGATAAATATGCATCCATTATGCAAAATGCAATATGCATACATTTGTGCTGAGTGATTAAACGAGCATTGGTCAGCCAGGTACGAAAATAGGTCACTTTTATGCATTTTCATGCCTGATTATGGATAATCATTGTTATGCGGATCAGAAATATTATGACTGCTAATCAGTAAATATACACCTACCCACTAACACCCGAGTTCCTGCTGTAGGCAAAACGCCCATAACACTAGGCAAGAAATCGTACCGGCATGAATTACCCTGGCTCTTTACCCATGTGCATTAACACTATGCAAGCTTCTGAGAATCACTTAAGCCCTTTTACGAGACCCTTCTCTCTAACGCTCAGACCCCCCTCCCCCTCCCCCCCACAACCGTTCCTTTCACACATAAATCTTCAAATAAGCTAAGCTGAGCCCAAACACCACAAACGCCGCTCATCATTCCACATCTAAGCGCTGTGATAAATATCTACTAGGCCCCGAAGCTGCCTAGAAATGACAGCCGTCATTGGTCCCTAATGTCCTCAACACACACCCCCTCCCGTCAGCCGAACCCTGACTGACCCCTGGCGAACCCCCTCTCCCCCTCATTTGACGTCGTCCGGGTACCACTCTCCGAACCTCTGCAGCGCCCTCTCCCACTCTGCCATCTCGGCCCGCAGCGCCGCGCCGCGGCTCGGGTCCGGCTCGAACACCCGTTCCGTCTGCCGCAGAGGCTCCAGCTCGCTCCGGTCGCGCCACACGCCGGCCGCCAGCCCTGCCAGCATGGCCGCCCCGCGTACAGAGGTCTCCACATCGCGGGGCCGCTCCAGCCGCACCCCCAGCACGTCAGCGGCCATCTGACAGAGCGCGTCGTTGCGGGCCACGCCGCCCGAGACGCGAATGTGGCGCAGAGGGAAGGCGCACTCGGCGCGCATACTGTCGTACAGCTGACGTAGACGGAATGCAATCGCCTGGAGAATAGCTCGAGTCAGGTGCGCCCGGGAGCTCTCGGCTGATATCCCGATGAAGCCGGCCGCCGCCTTGAAGTCATTGACCGGCGCCGCTATTCCGGAGAAGGCCGGCACGAAGCGCACGCCGCCGGCGTCAGGGACGGACTCAGCCAGCGCGGCCGTGTCCTCCACGGCGTCATACAGGCCGATCCTCCGGCCCCAGAGCACGCTGGCGGCGGTGTCCCCGGCGGCTCCCTCGGCCATAAACACCACCTCCTCGCCCAGCTCCCAGGCCACCGCCGGGTAGAAGCCGCGTACCGACGTGTGTGGCCGCTCGCCCGTGTTGACATCCATGAACGATCCGGTGCCGAGCGTAACCGCCACGTCCCCGCGCTGCCAGCACTCTGCGCCGAACAGACTGGCGCTCTGGTCTCCGATCACACAGCTGATCTTCAGCGGGGCGCCCAGCACCTCCGGAGCCGTGATGCCAAAGTCGTACGTTGTAGAAACCACCTCGGGTAACATACTCGGCGGGGCGACGCCGAAGAGGAATCGTGGATAGCCGGACCACTGCATCAGGTATGGGTCGAAGAAGCCGGTGGCCGCTGCGTTAGTGCGGTCTGAGACGTGTAGTCTACCAGCGGTTAGGCGGTAGAGAAGGAATGTCTCCAGTGTGCCGAACAGCGCCCGACCGCGGCCAATGTCCTCGCGCAGGGCGGGTATGTTCTGCATACACCACAGCAGACGCATAGTTACCTGAGGGATACCGCGGGCGGCGAGGGTCAGCCCGGGAAGACGTCTAATGCAGTCAGCGACTGGCCAGAACGTAGACCGAGTCCGGTCGAAGCACTAGTCTTGTTAACTGTGACCTTTGAAGCTATGCGAAGCTTTCAAGTTTTCAGTGCAAAAGAATATTGAGCAGCATAAAGTGAAGCACCATGCGTCACACTAGCTACTAGCTAGCCAAAGCGAAGCATGGCAATCGGTAAACTATGGCTACATAGTGCACCACACCCTACCTTGAATACCTTCCAAGCAAAAAGGTCATCAAGTACGGTCCATGTTACTCATACTGACGAGCTACCAAACCAGCGCCAGAGTGCAGCATCCTGACAAAACTCGCTTGCCTGCGATCTTGTCGAAGCAAGAGTGTCTGAACTGTGTGTTCACCAAACATAATACACGGTCAGTTTCTTACCTGAGCGTTCATCAGCCGGAGCACACTGACGGCCTGGAGGCGCGGGTTGCCGGTGACCTTGTGGAGCAGCCAGCAGACGTGAGCCGGGACGCGGAACATCAGAGAACTGCAAAACAGGCGGACAGTGAAGGGGTGAGAGTGACCGAGAAAAAAGTACAGACAAAGGCATTGGCATGCAGGCAAACCTGCTCGTTCCAAAGCAAGAGTGATTGAGCACCATCGATAGAAATTAGAATGGGGCTAACTGGTAGGTGACTTACTTCGTTTCGCATTTTACACCGGTTTTTGCGTTATTGAGCACAGCACACTATCATGCTCCATTGTCTACCGTGCAGCTAATGCACTCTCAAAAAGAAAAAGTACAAGAACGAAGCAGATTCAATGCGAACATATATTTGGGAAACCCCAAGTACGCCATTTAGCTATCGCCACTACACTAGCGCCCTCGTCCCGTGTTGATACAGCAATGTGGGCGATCAACACCAGCTCCCGTGTCCACTCACGCATTCCACGCCTTGACAAGGCCGCTGGCTCGCCGGTCGCTCCAGCAGACCACGTTGTGGTAGCAGCGGCCCGTGTCCCGACTCCACGTGGTAAACGACGACCGCTGGGTGCTGATCCCGAGCGTGGTCACCTGGTGAAATGTCGCGAAGGTCATTCAGCCGGTAAGGATGCGAGGCTTGTTGAGAATCGACTCACTTGGACGAGATTTGCAGAACAATATGGGAAAGAGATGAGAGAAAAAGGTGAGAGGCAGAACGAGGGAAGAGCGAGATATACAGAAAATAAATATATGTCAATCTGAATGGATGTACGTATCGTCATAAAATCAGCATTAGAAGTGCACATGTTATATTTCACTTTCTTTTTCAGTCACCTATGCGCATCAGCAACATCAATGTACATTTCTGGGGCAGTGCAGAAATAATCCAGCAAAGACGGCGGTAAACTAAGGCGACATCACACCACACACAACCCCCACAACCCACCTGTTGCAGTGTGAGACCCGCGTCAGCGACAGCGCCCTTGATGACCTCGCAGACCGCCTCGAACAGCTGATCGGGGTCGATCTCCACGTGTTCCGGTACGGGGTAGAGCAGCTGGACGGGCCGCCGGCAGACGCCGCGCACCTCCAGCCGCCGGTCCAGCACCACACAGCGTACGGAGGTGGTGCCCACGTCCAGCGCGGCCACGAACGGACCGCAGTGGGCGTCAGGCTGAGCCGAGCGGCTGGTTGGATTTGGGCTGTCTGCTGTTCCACCAGTCCCGCCGTCGGGAGTGTTTTCCGACCGTTCTGCAGTCGATTCACCATCATTACTGGCGTTTCCGCTTCCCAGTTCACACATGACTTCACTCTCATCGACACTGTCACTGCGTCTGTCTGTTCTCCCGTCGGTCATGGCACCACCCCCGACGTTCTGCGTCTCACTGGATTCTACCGTCGTTCTCAGTCGACCCTCGGACGGCCCCTCTGACCCTGAGTGGGTGTCTGGCTGGCCAGAGGCACGCGCTCGCCGTCTGACATCCATGGCGGGCCTGGCGGGTGGTCACCGCGTCCCGCCGGCCACCCGCGGCGACGAGGGACGAGACGGGCCTGAGGACAGAACGCTGCGGTCACCAAAACGCGGCTAGTTCGCACGAATCATAACAGTCGTGGGTGGCGCTGTCCTCAGAGTGTTTACGAAAATTGGATGGCGGTGAACAGACAGGGAGCATTGAAAGAAACTTAGAACCTTGAAAGAAACCACACATTGAAAGAAAATGGACAACGCAAAATAGTTTTTAGGTTTTTAGGTTGTTTTTTTTTTTTTAGGTATCTGCATGCGCAGAAAATAGCATATGGCATATACCTTATATCTGACCTGTCGTAGCCTGAACAGTTCAGCCAGCACCGCACCGCAAACCACCACTTTCACCGCAGACCACCCACTGCCCAATTGTCTGTAACACGAACCGGCGCCGCGCGCCCCGTCCTCACAGATGACCAATAATAATCTCCGACTGCTGCTGTGTGTCAGAGGCGAGCACAGGGCCGGTCCGGGGGAGGTCACTTGGCACCATACCCCTCCACGAGCCTTCCGCCCACTCCCAACCACGACCTCTTAATGGCACCCTGTCGGTCTGACTCGGTCCACCGCTGTGCTCGCAGTTCTGTCGCTGAGAGGCGATCGACGCGGCGTATCGGGCCCATCTTGATAGCAACGCTTCCGACGACCCGTCTGCCCTGCCGCGAGGGTCGGCAGATTGGACCGGGCTAACGTGTGTGAGGGCGGTGACGGGCGTCTCCCGGGCGCGCAGGGCAGGGCAGACGCTCGGCGTGGTGTGACACCGAGAGCCTCTTGACGGCTATCGCTGTCTCCTTTAATCCCCGTGGCGCCACCTCGGCAGTGCAGATAGCGCCGTTGAGGCCACTCCGCTGTGTCGATATGTGCTCCAGATTAGTGACGGCACAAGGCTAACCCGCGCCCTGCTGAGGGGGGGGGGGCCTTATAAGGAGCAAATATCTATTACAAAAAGATGGTTAGATGTGTTCGCTATTTTTGACACACCACATCATATTTCCACGCTCGTTTTGGAAATTAGCGGACTGGACGCTAAGGTCGGGTCACCAGGTCCCTTACTCTGGCCGAATCTATACGTTTTCTTCAAAGGCCTCGGCCGAGGGAGGGAGACCTGGTGGTGCCCCCTCCCCCACCGTTTCGCCCCTGATTAAGCTAAAACTTCGCGGAAAAACCGAACGTGTGCACCGTTACCCAGTGTTAAGTTGCGGTCGTGCCGGTCCCGTAGCTCAGTCAGTAGCGCGTTGGACGTCATGTAGTGATAGCACACATCCCGGCTGCAAAAGTCCAAGGCTCGAGGCACGACGGGCGCTCGATGTTTAGAAGCTTCATGACGGGTATGGGTTGCTGTTGGTGGCAGGCCGTAGCCAGCCAAGGCCAGTGGGGGGCCCAGCCGTGCGGTGTGCACAGCTTTGTGCGTAGGTTAGCTTCACTTCAGGCTCTAAATTCTGCCGTAGACTAGGAATCGCGTGATCGGAAGGTAGGGGCATGGCTGACACAACAATGAACAAACTCTGCTTAGAGAGGGTTCTGTCATCGTGAATCCTTCCATTCAAAAGGCTCAGACTTACTTTACAAATAAAAAAAGCTACAAGACACAGCAACTGGTAGCCTCTTTTAAGGTCTTGGCCCAGTTTGTCCCCTATTGAGGTCAGGTCAAAGGCACAAATATAAAGATTCAGTTCTTGGTGAAAAGCTTCACCAAAAATGGAATTGCTGAGCCACAAATTTGGCAACATCATGCTTGTTATGCTCATGCATGTTGAATGCTATACTCTTTTGTTAAGGAAAGGTCAACCTAGTGTTGACCTCAGGTCAAAGAAGTGGTCACTAAATTTGCCAAGGGGTAAAATTGCATGTGTACGGGGACCCGCAGTTGCTACTGTACACGAACCCTTACTCTAGCCATCTGTCCTGTCCAGTAACAACCGATAACATTGATATCGACTGTCGGTCCCTGTACAAGAGCAGCTGAGGTTTTCTGTGCATGCCCTCTGACAGCTTATCGTTGTTCCCTGTGAGAGTGCTGGGACAATTTACTCAGGGTCGCTGTACAGTAGCAACTGCGGGTCCCCGTACCTAGGTACTAGGTAGGTATTCAGGGCTGCAGAGTCGAAGTCAGAGTTGACCAGAGTCAACATTAACAGTTCTGACCAGAGTTGGAGTTGGAGTCAATTTTGGTCTTTACTCTTTGAAAGCCAGAGCCGAGGGGATCAGAGTTACCAAAAACCCATCGACTCCACACTCCGCAGCTTGGTCAGGTCTGTGGAGTTTGGAGTTGTTCAGAGTTGACAGTTCTGCCTGAAATCAGAGTCAGTTGGTTTTGGGAAGCTGGAGTCACAGAAAATTCATCGACTCCACTGCCCTGGTCCTATTCATCAGGTCTTGAGGAATCTTATTAAGCATCAGCATCAGGTCGCTAGGGGACCTTCGTGTTTCGTAATATTGTTTCAAAGTACATCACTTTAAGTTAATATGGGAGATATGCTCAAACAAAGAGCTCAAATCAAAATGGACTTCAGCAAAGAACATACCACAGTAGAGTCACCTGATTGTGATGGCTGCAAGCAATGAAACTGAAACGGGTGCTGGCCAGTGGCCGTTGACTAGTTTAGAAAGTAACGACCATGACCTTGTTAGTTTTAATTAAACAATACAGCTTCGAACTTTTTAAGGGGATCAACCTTTAGGTACCTATGTACGATTTTTTCACGTTAAAACGTTGAAATTAATTGTAACATTACCTATCCGCCTGCAAAATTTACAGGGAAGTGAGATTGTTTGTTTACTTTCTCCACTGCTCTGTTAATGCCGCAGCTGCGCAGGAAATGTACGATGCTCTGTAATAAACTGCAGACATAAGTTACATTTGAGCTACATTTTAGGTAAATGCTTTATTGTACTTCTTACAAAGTCTCTGCGGCACGAAAAACTTGCATCCACTTCTTCACAAGGCAAAATAACCTATCGGATAGGAAAAAATCGACAGCTGATTTCGAAAGCACTGATTTGAGACTTGAGTTGTAGCGATGATTTATCGATGGTAGGTAGCCTATAAATACGACAGATGTCGCACCCGTCGCACCACCCAATCGGAATAGTAGATGGCGCTCGGGATTGCCATCCTAGCTCAACGCAGAGAATCATAGGCCGGCTTTCTTACTGGCTTTCCCATACACGTGTTGGCGTTTCCCGGCCTGTCATTACTCAACCCCATGCATCACATGAGTTTCACCGCTGAGAAGACGAGAGACGCCAGCAGGCTGGCAGCATGGTGATTAAAAAAAAAAAACGCGACCAGACAGCACTCTGGACCGTGGCTCTACCATGTTCATAAGCTCTCATAGAACAGACCGATGCAAAACCGTCCGTCGATTTTCGTCAGTAAACACTAACGCTTGTGCATGTTGCACATAAGATGAGACTATTCTTTGTCTTGTCTATAGGCAAATGCCTTTCCAAGCAGTTCTTCGTTTGAAATTACTATCTGAAATTACTAACACCACGCTTCGAGTCAAAGTCGCTAGCAATAAATAATGTGTTCTACCTAATGCACAAGGATTTCACGTCTCGGCCTCAGACGGTCAAATCATCGCATCTTTCGTACAGTTCAAGGAGCACGCAACTACGAACACGTTTCCCAAATATTTACGTATATTTGGCATGTCATGATTGGCAACCGCAATAAAATAGCATTTCTGTGGGCACAAGTCAACTGTCTGCACTCTAATCAACAAACATCGCATCTCTTCAACCATTATCACTAGCAATTAAAAAAGGACCTCTACGAAAACAACAACAAAAGGAAACTCGTGGAGTAAACAAGCCACACACATGGCGAGCGGCCGGACGGCCAAATATCACATCAGAGGGATCGCGGAGATCTCAGCGATCGTCTTATGGGAGATGGAGCAGCAGGACTACATCACTTATATCACTATACAGGCCCGTTGGCCAAGATCTCTAGGTACATTCGACGGACGGTGGTGTAACATTCGGAACACCCAGACATGGTCAGGCGAACAGCGGGGGGGGGGGGGGTGAAACAAGGAATAAGCCGAATAAACAAAAACCCGAAGCCGCAAAATCCCAATGCAAGAAAATCCCAATGCAAGAGCGTCTTCATTGCATGCAGCTTCATACCAGTGGATTTTTTTTTTATAATCGATAAAATCATGACCGAAAGGGATCAACAATACTATAGAACGAAGGCTTTGGATTGTACCCCGTTTCACCTGTGCCCTGGTCACTATTCGGCACCGCCTCCCAGGCCCTCCCCCGGCACTCCTCCCTCCCCCCCCACACACACACGGCGCTCACTGTCTGGTGACCATCCAGTGGTGGTCACACTGATGCCGTCGGGTCCGCTCCACCGGCTCCCCGCCGTCCTCGGGCAGCTCGAACCGACGCACGCGCACCGGCTGCTTGTAGTGGTACTCCTTCAGAAACATCCTCAGCACACGCGGCAGCTTCAGCTGCGCCACTTCATCGTAACCGACACGGTCGACGATCGCGGCGCGGCACAGGTGTGATAGGGGGAACACAAAGGAGCGGGGCAGCGGCCGCGTCAGCAGCGGCTCGAAGAACATGCACCGTCCAGCGTCCTTGTAGTGTTCGATCAGCGCCGTGACGGTGGCCGCCGCGAACACCGCCGGGTCGTGCGCGTCGAACGAGAAGCGCCGCTCCCACTGTTCCACGCGCGCGTGCAGCGAGCGGCCGTAGCGCCGAAAACTGACCGAGAACAGGTACTCCTCCTGCGCAGAGTCGCGCAGCAGGAACGTGCCCTCGGGTTTGTTCTCGAGCAGTCGCTCGGCCTCGAACCTGTCCATCTCACCCCAGTAGAAGGGACTGTTGACGATGTGCAGCAGGTCAGGTACCAGCCGATGCACAAAGTCCACCGTGGTGTGCACAGTGCGCTGCACCAGCGAGCCGTCGCGGCCCAGCTCGGTGAAGTGTGACACCAGCAGTCTCGACTCGGCCGTGGGCGCGTCACCGGCCGCCGCCGCCCCTGACGCCACCGCGGCCGGCGCCGTCACCGGCGGCGGCGGGGACACGGGCGCGCCGCGACCCGACCGGCAGCGCGACATCAGGCTGCGGGTCATGCGCAGCGCGCGCAGGGTGCGTCGGAGGCGGCCGTGGCGCGGCGGCGCCGGCTGTGGCACGTCCTGCTCCTGGTCCGACTCGGACGAGTCCCACTCGCGGACGGGCCGCAGCGGCAGGCGCGGCAGCCGGCGGCGCGGGGGCCCGCGCTCGTCCGGTGATGAGCCCGCAGTCGCCGCCGCCGCAGAGGCGTCCGGCGGCTCCTGAGAGCGGGCAGAGTCGGCGGCGGGCGCCGGCGCCGCGGCGGCGGCCGCCAGAGTGCCGTACACGCCCTCAGCGGCTCGGGTGACGGCCGGCGGCGTCACGGCGGCGGCCGCGGCGCGGTCGGCCCCCGCCGCCGCCGGCTGGCCCGTCCCCGGTCCGCTCATGTCCGGGTCACGTCTGAAACGGAGAGCAGGCCAGCTGAGAGGAGGCCGGGGCGACGCGACATTTTCAGCACATGTTTGACAGGCATGCAAGGCCGAGAAACGACGCAGCAGGCTTCCAATGGCTCGTTCATCATCCAGCCACCGAACTCCGGCGTCGCATTGAACTTAACAATCGTGAATGGGGACACACAGCAGCCGCCCGGCTGACATGTAACATTTGGGAAATAAATTGCTGTAGGAGAAGCATTTTCACTTCCTCATCCCAGCTGAAGCCTGAAAGACATGCCGTCTTATAGCACCGTGCCCACGACGACTGAACAACGTAAGAAATTAAATATCCGAGGCTCTGCCCCGGTTAAGTACTCGCGAACATGTCCAAGCCTGTTGAGCGGATGGAGCGATAAACAGAGTAAGTCCGTCCCGGGAGGCGATTCTAGTGCACGTGTGCGGCGTGTTTTTATAGTATACACACTATGTTCCCAGACAGAGGCGGGGCTGATATAGGCCCGACTTGTCGCGGCGCGTCCGGAAAAGGACGATACGCGCTCGTCCACTGTCGCCGGTGCAAGGTGCGTGGGATGGGACGAAGAGCACTGGAGGCTGGCTGGCCGCGGCTACCGGCTCGGTACATGTTCAGAAGACAATGGTGGTCTGCCTGTCTGTCCGTCCCCGTGGGTGTAGGACGTAGGTCACTAGGTATGCTCCATTCTATTCAAAGCGGGAGATGCAGTAAATCAACGGGACACCACTGGGTAAGTACAATTGCACTTATGTACTCAATCAGAATACACAGAGACGGAACTCAACTAAAATAAGAGGTTCACCGAGTTTCGATGTAATGGATGGACCTTCAGAAGTGCGCTGACTTTGTAGTCCCTCCCAAAAAAAGAACATCTGAAAAAGCTAAAAGAGGTCCGTTGATAGGCACCCTTCAGTACTTTATTCTCAAGTCATTATTGCAAAGCTTGTCATAAAATAATCCTAGTGAAGATCCATAACTTTTAAAGGCCTTTGTTACGCATACAGAAGCTCGAACTTTGAGCTTCTTAGCTCCAGTCCCTTAGCTCCCTTCGAACTTTCTTGGGTCTCATCGCTGCCTGTAGTGGCAGCGCGTTAGGCCGCGCCCCGTTGTAAGTATATGCTTGCGCCGCAGTTCAGCGGACGCGGTGTCATGTAGGACACGCCTGCCTGCCCTGTGCGAGCTGCATGTATGCATCAGAAGCCAGCCGCCCGGGGCCACTAGTCTCCGACCCCGGCCGACCAGCCGGATCGGAACAAGGGACCGCTCCAGTGAGAGATGTACCGAAGAATTATTCCAGGTTAATTTCGAAGGTCTAAACGACAACTTTGTCGAAAACTTTACAGCTAAGTTGCAAAACGACCACAATGCTGTTTTTTTAACACCATCGCTATTGCGGCACAAAGCCGTGTGTGGGACCGAGATAAACAGCGGACATCCTTGTCACCGCACACATGCTGTGACACGCAGCCAGCGGTCGGGGACATGTGGCCACATCCGCTCTGCAGTACCCGCGAGCCCGGTCCCGCGGGGGCCGCCCGACCGCCGCCCCGTCCGGGGAAACTGTGCAGTAGGGTTGTTCAAAAAAACCGAATTTTGGAAAAGTATATGGGCTCATGGCTCATGTGGTGCGGTATTCTTTTCTGAGTCCAATGATACCCTTTTTTCCGAAAAGTATTACTGCTAGGCGCTGCTCATACGGCTTAAAGAGGACCATGTCACGCCCGCCGACCGGCCGGTGTTAATAAGGGCGAGAATTCGACGCCGCGCGGCGGCGGCAGCGCCTTATCGGCACCGCGCGCCACGACATCTGCCGGGCGGCCGGCTGGGCGGTGGGAAGTTATAAGTGCGTGGTCTTATTGCACACGATCGGGGTGAGCTATCCCATGTTTTCGGGGCGGAAAGTTTCAGTGCAGCATCGGTGCGTCTCCCACGGTGGTCTGTGTCGATGGTATAGAAAATAACTCAAGCAGACCTCAGAAAATACTGAATGATTCCGGGTAGTTGCCTCGAAGCAATCCGTTTCAAGAATACAGCTGCCTTCTTAACGTACTGTATCACTTGTTAATTCTTCAAAAAGCAAGCTCTGAGCAATAACAGACTTCTTTGCATTGCTGTTGACAATTTAAGTTGCTTTTGGACGGTGGCTCGCAGCCCCAATATGCTGCCGCATAACTCTATTCCAACGACGAAACGGCAACTTAGCGAGAATCGAAAATTTAACGAAGTAGGTACAACAGGAGCTGGCAAGGCTCCTGCATTGGTCTATCCGTCATGAGTGACACACCGGGGTAATGTGTCACGTCAGGGCAGAGCTGTGTTCTATGCCGGGTCTGGATTCGGGTCTTGATCGGCATCGGTGGGCACGGCCGCCCTGGCCGGACTGCCGGCGTCGCTTATGCTCGAAGGATTGGATAAACGGCGCTTGATTTATATGAGTAGGTACTCCGGCTAATGTCTCTACTCATGTCTCACTTCGTCACACTGTCAGGGTGGCCACCCTGTCACTCCCAGACATGTTATGTTTTCTTTCGACCCGCTAATCTAAGTTAAACCTGGCGTCGATTCTGTTGCCCCAGCAGCTGACATCAACGTATCTGAATAATGACGTTGGTGACGCCTATGCTCGTCAAAGCCACCCCCAAACTTGGGCCGATGACTGTCGGGTATCCTCCATATTCTGTCCTTGTGCATACTGCATTGCCAGCCCCTGCTGTACGTATATCGTGAATTTTCGATTCTCGCAAAGTTGCCGTTTCGCCGTTGGAATAAAGTTGCGCGGCAGCATATTGAGGGTGCGAGCCACCGTCAAAAACTAACGTAAATTGTCAACAGCAATGCAAAGAGGTGTGTTATTGCTCAGAGTTTGCTTTTTGAAGAATTAACAAGTGATACGGTACGTTAAGAAGGCAGCTGTATTCTTAAAACGGATTGCTTCGAGGCAACTACCCGGAATCATTCAGTCTTTTCTGAGGTCTGCTTGAGTTATTTTCTATACCATCGACACAGACCACCGTGGCAGACGCACCGATGCTGCACTGAAACTTTCCTCCCCGAAAACATGGGATAGCTCACCCCGATCGTGTGCAATAAGACCACGCACTTATAACTTCCCACCGCCCAGCCGGCCGCCCGGCAGATGTCGTGGCGCGCGGTGCCGATAAGGCGCTGCCGCCGGCGCGCGGCGTCGAGTTCTCGCCCTTATTGACACAGGCCGGTCGGCGGGCGTAACATGGTCCTCTTTAAGCCGTTTGAGGAGCCCCTAACAGTTAATACTTTTCAGAAAAAAGGGCATCATTGGTCTCAGAAAAGAATACCGCACCACATGAGCCATGAGCCCATATACTTTTCCAAAATTCGGTTTTTTTGAACAACCCTACTGTGCAGTGCAGGTCACCAGCCCGCGGAGCGGACCCGACCGGCCGCGCCGACCGTCACAGTCCCGATCGAGACGGGAGCAAGGCCGGCCGGCCTGCTACCGATGCATAGCGACGCAACTGTGATCCTCCTGGGGGGACCGTCTCATACATTATGGAGACGCTACCGAGCCAGACAAAACGCCCTTCACATCGCTATGCGGCCACGTCGGCGACGAGACACCACGCTCGACGGCGAGAGTTGGGAGCGGTATTGGTATTTAGCTGTCAGGTTCGATTTTGAGACGAGCATCCAAATGTTGCGTTGAATATTCACACTTGCCCCGGTCGGTGCTCAATCATCTGTTTTCCAAGTCAGAAACGACCGAGGAATGCCATGAGGCCCATCAAACCGAACGCAACTCGACACGAGTATGCATAATACGATCCAGCCCGATTGGACACCGACTCGGGCGCCGTCAGAGCGGGGTGCGGCGCGGACCTCACCCTCACCGCCTGGCGACACGGTCACGACGGCGTCACCTGGCGAGGAAAACGGGCTCCTGTTGCCACCCCGCCCCGGAAACAGCGGCACCTGACCGGCGGATCGGCGCACGCCGCCTGTCCTCCACTCAGGAAAGTGGCGACCGGCGCGGCCGACCGGGGGACACGATAGCGTGGGCGGGGGGTGGACGGGGATTGGGGAGGGGTAGAGCCAAGCCGCCACACAGCGCGACACGCGAGCTGTCTCTCAGGGTTCACCAAGCCGGCCGTCACAAACCCCGTCTTAGCATGGCAAATTGCAGAGATAAGGGCACGATGTAACAAACGGCTGGAAATTTAATCCGCAGAGCTTTTGTAAACGCTTATATCCGGAGACATTAATGCTACTGACAGTTCAACAGCACGTCGATATGACGGTATTTGCCACTGATCCCAGCTCAACGTCGCAAGTGTGCCATGTCACTGCGGACCTTTTGCTAATGCATTGATCAACTAGTGTCCATAGTAGGTAATCTAGATTACATACAGAAGGTTTCAGAGAAAGAGTGACATCTACCATTGAATACCTCTTTCAAGCCAACTCCGGCAGCGGTAAGAGCAAAAATTGTCTCTCGGTCAAGCCCACTTCCATCGTTTCCAGATGACCGCAGTTACAAGCGGGCACAAAATATCAAACGTAGTAAAGCGTAGCTAAATACCCATTAGTCCATAAAGTACACCATTGGGACGTCCCGAAGTCACTCAATCAAGAAGTAGATCCGGTAAAACTCTGTCACAGGCGGTGGAGTGAACGAACTATTCTAAATGAGTAAAGTTGCGTCGCGCAGCTCGCAACCACACGACACTGGACTTATTATTACTGACAAACACTGGCACTGGACGACACTAGCAAACAGCGTTTGGTCACAATGACGGTCAGTATCCGCTGACTGCATGTTTCGGATTCCCACTACCTTACTTATCGACCCTGTCCACCAGAGCTGGTCTGAGAGCTGAGATAAACTGACGCGATATAAAAATTCCAACTAAGCACCTGAACAAGATCGGAAGAGTCTGAACAAGACGTGTTTTCCCTGCATTCCATCTATCAGCTGACAACATTCCGTTGTCGAGTGCTTCTGTTGCACGCGCGACCTTCGCTCTCGGCCGGAAGATGAACCGCGATTTGAAGTAGCCAGAAGTAGCAGTTGTTGAGCAATTGAGCATACCACCCACTTATGTGCTGACACTGTTTAGACTGCGGGTCATCTAATCCAGCCGGAACAAGCTATCACGCCTGACGTCAGCTGGAGAATAGATCATCACCTCGGGACTAACTCGCTTTGTCACGCCGAATCCATCACGATACCGACTTTAGTGACATAGCTTACCTCGGACTTCATTCAGTGCCTACGAGCTATGCACGCTTCCGAAACCGTAACCAAAGATAATTTTCACTCACCCGTTACTGATACAAATTTTACACAAGTTGTTATTGTAGCCACAAGGTGTTACATTCATTCAAATACCGACAAAGTTTCTGGTATGAATGGCAAATGGAAATGGAATGAGCTATCCGATCAAGTAAAACCCATTTACATACAGCTAGCATTTACTTTCGAAGATGTAAGCTCCAACTTTTACGCCAACCGAAAGATCATCAACTCGAAACCCTGACGGCCGTACCGTCTCCCCGTCCTGACAGAGCACTGACCTGGGTCTGAGTATCCTCGTTACGTGACCGCTCTTCTGCCGACACCCTTTCATCCCACCCACCGGTGCCGTCCCCACCCACCCGTCTCCCGTCACCAACTGTCGGACTGCGGTCGCCCGCCGCCCGCTGGCCACCTCGGCCCGCCCCCCGCCCACGTGACCCGGAGTCGCGCACAGAGCGACGGCCCGATTCCGGCCCTGTCTACGGAGTGCAGCGATGACTCAGAGGTGCTCTTGGTCACGTGGTGAAGGCCCGCAGCCCCAGCCCGCCCCCGCCCCTGTCCGGTCCCGCAGAGTACGGCCGACACGTCCCGGCATGAATGAACAGCGGCCTTGTGACGTAGAGAGGTCCAGTGCTTGAAGCATCGGCGTTATCAACTTATCGTACCCACATATCTCCTCCATTTTTTTCCTCGAAGGTTATGAATGGATGGGCTCATAAAGCTCGCTCTGAAGAAAAGTTGTTGGGCGGCATCTGGCAGGCCCGGCTACTGCTGGTAGATGGGAAAAGAGGGATAACTTACAATAAATAATTTAGCGTCTTCATGTCCAAGCAAGACCCTCTGAACTGTCACCTCGAATTACAGCCAGAAAGCGTACCTATAGCAGAGCATTTTCATGAAACTTTATTATTATCGACATTGGTTTGGTAAGTATGTTGTTATTGCCTCCGTCGAAGTAAAAAAAGAAAATATATATCGGACTTAAACCACCGGGTACAGTTGCCTAACGCTACCGGCAAGTTTGCCCGCCACACGTAGTCTTGAGGCTACGACTGTCTAAGATTGCCAAACGCTCGTGTCAAGCTCGCGCACTAGACATAGTCCTGAAAGAGCAGCTAGCTGCAATCACCGACACTGTTTCCTTGGATAAATCTCCTCCTTGGCTGCCCCGTGCAACGTCTAGAGCCGCATGTTCGGTGGAACATCCGCTCACCACAATCGGCCAGCCAGAACAGCCAGATCAGAGCGCTGGTGGGTACTTTCAAGGGCTGCGCCACCGGAAGGACGCGGGGGAGGGGGGGGGCGAGCCCCAAGAGCCCCAACCCTGAGACCGTAGCGGAGCCCCACGGCCCACAGACTTGAATATTAATCCTTACATCATGGAGCGCGAGGCAGGTAGAGATAAGAACGTCAGCTCTATCGAAATGCTTCGCTAACTTTTCCAAACTCTACCAAAATAAAATGGCTGTAATGGATGTGCTGGACGTGCTGGATACGGAGCAGGCTTTCCTAGCGATGAACAGCTGTTACATCGTAAATGGTAATGTAGATCTCATTCTAGCCTGTCCCGTAGCTCAGTTGGCAGAGCGTTGGACTCCCGGTAGTGAAAGGCCGGTTTCGAGTCGCTCCGGCGCTCGATATTTGAGTCTCCTGACGGGGATGGCCTGCGGATGGTGGGAGCAGCCGCAGCGCAGCCAGTTGAAGTCAGTTGAGAGGGACGGGCCGTGCCCGGCATTGATGGGCACGTTAAAATTTGGCCTCTAAATTATCCCGTTACCCGGAATTGCGCGATTGGACGGTAGGGATCAAGCTCTACTAAGCCTGGGCTTTGACCTCTATATCCGTCCATTCAAGCATTCGAGCTAAATTCATAAAAAAAAACGTCTGGCTTCGCGATTAAACGTTTTTGGTGGATTGCTGGATTTCGAAACCCCATTTGCCCACCTCATGCATTCTGTTTAGTTCTAGTTTGCGTAGCAAAAGACCGATCCTATTCATTGATAATGAATGCTAACTTCTTAGCAGTAAGTACATGAACTGACTCAAAGGTAAAAATATTGGACAAATGAGCTCTCTCAGAGGTCAACGTTCCGTGGTGCTGAGAAAAAAAAAATGTTTAAAGGGGAGATAGAGGGAAGGAAAGAGGGGAGAAGAAAGGATGGGGATTGGGGAGGGATGGGAGGAGAGAGTTGGTGGTGAGATGGGAAAAAGGGGAAATAGTGAAGCAGATAGGGAGATGTGTTGAAAGGGGAAGATATTTCCAAAAGCACTTGAACCTAGTCTGCAAACCACAGATAAAAGTATTATACCCTTACCTGCAGTTAATGTCCAAACCCTCCTGCTCCTGAGAATCCATGTCTTCATGACCTGTCATCTTTTTATGTGCATCAGTTGGTGCTCCATGAAGTCAAAACCAGTATGTTCATCAATTGGTAAGCCCCTGAAATTCAAAGACAAATGTAACAACACTGCAGTTTCATGTGTGGGGCATAGCAGGGTAGGAGGCATGTCTGGACACATTGCAATTGCTACAGATTTTTGTCCCTTGTTTTTTTTTTTTTTGTAAAACTTGCACAATGGGTCAAACTAAGACTATGAACTGAAGCATTAGGTTAGATAGGGTTAAGTCAGATCAGGTTAGGCTACCTTATACCTATGCTGTTTATTTCATTTTTCTGGTTGAAACAGCCATACAAAAATTTGTCCAGACAAAAATTCATCATGGAACTGGGTGGGAGGAGGTAAAAGACATGACAACTATGACTTATCACACTTGAATAAAACAGGTTCACCATGAAATGTAGGTAACATACAAATCAGTACAATGGTCAATAGCCAGCCATGACCAATTCTGATTTACTCATACAATGTATACAAAGCATGCATCTAATGCTCTTTGGCATTTTATGAAACACCTAGCAAAATTGTTAAGATCACTGACCTTAATGGTTTTTGATTTGATAGCTGCCTATTCAATATTCTGATGATGTTGTGAGAATTGATACTATTGGCTGATTTTATTCTGTGTGTAGGCATTCAAACACAGAGCACATACCTATAGTCACAAACTACTATGCACTCTGAAGTTAGTAATGATATCAATATAGATATTCAGGCACTCTGTAGGGAAATAATGAGGCTCTCAAATGCTAAAAAACTTGAACCACAAGTTGTGACGTCAGACCATCGGCATCCAACGTGATTGAGAAACTGAAAATGTGACGTCAGAGTGCCCCATTGGCTTCCATGCCCGGGTATTATGATATGATTTAGACATGTTTTAATACCCCGCATTCATAGTCTCTCGGACAACAAAGATTCTATGTCATCCGGCCCTCGACCAATCCCGTTCAACTTCAAGGTCAGCGTTATGACAGATGACTTGACTGCGGTTATGGAACAGGATTACCCTGGCCAGACGGTCGTAGAATCTTGTTCGTCCTGCGTTTGAGAGACTCCGAACGCGGGGATAGCTTGAATTAGTCTTGCTTAAAAACAGTGGACCAAAAACATAAGCAGTAAAATCCCTTGTCTCAGAACAGTAGAACCTCAACACAATGCAAAACCTGCCAATGCTGCCATAATATGTGTTTGTATCAAGACATGGTATCAGTAGACAGTAGGTACATCTAATGGTGTGAATTTAACTCGAAAACCGCCCAAATGTAACAAATAAACTACACAGCATTCAGCAACAAACAAACACAACTTCAAACACGGTCATTGAATACCTTCAAAGCTGTTTTTTATTTTATTTTTGCTCGGCTCGCTCTCTCAACACAACAAGCCAATAGTTGTTGTTGTTGTTGTTTTGGTGTAGGGCGCATAGCCTCTTGGGCTCAGAGCGTCCAGAAGTTGTCTTCACATCTTCTCTTCCTTCTTGTCATGGCCAGGGAATGGAACTAAGCGATCCATGGGACAAGGAAATGCGTTGCCAGGATTTGTCCAGTTAGGATTTATCAGTTTAGGTTGGTATTGCCGTAGTTAGATGTTAGTGATTGGTCAAACTACACTAACTAAAAATAAAAATAAAGTAAATTAAAGAGAAAGAAAAACAAACATCATACATTTCACAAGTTTAACATCAGCTCATACTCATAAGGCCTGCACTCAGCCATCACGCCAATCGTTCACATATGATCAACATATCCGCACCACAACAAGCCAATAGACAACAAGCACAGCGCCACAAATGTATCAAAATACACCATCAGTTGAGCTTGTAGGTAAAATCCTCAATAAATGACGTCATTCGAATAAAACTCAAATCTAGAAACAACTACTCAAGTAAGCATCGCAACAAATGCTAGAGAAAGGCAAAATAAAAATCATGAAATCAAATCCGTAGTAAATCATACTCTCTGCATCCTTGCCCATTGGACAAATGCTAAATGGCCAGTTTCACTTATTTACCTATTTCGGGACATTTGTTCGCAAGGTTGATCGCGATCAAAATAAAAAATCCATCGATACCATGCACATTTCTATTATTATTCTAATACAACAACCAGCAAACATTTTACAAAAAAAAATCCATTTAAATTGCAATTCTCTTAAAACGGTTTTATTTGACGTCATCAATATTCGAAAAAATAGAGGTTCTCCATAAGCACAACCTTGAACCAAGGCAACCAACAACCTGCCATTTTTTAATAATTATTGTTATTTTGTTGCAGTGGGGGCAAAGTAGGTGTAGAGGAAGGTCGTGTTTATTTTCTTTTTTATTTTACGAACGATATTTTTAGAGTGCTTCATATATAAGTGATGCTGCAAACTGCATTTTTAAGTCAGATGGCGACAAATTTTCATTGCGCAAGTTTCAACCAACAAAGGATTTCAATTTTGATTTATAATTATACTGCCTTGGCCTTTCAAATTTCACTTAGGCTTGCCACTATAATATTATTTTGCCAGTATTTATGTCCCTAATATGGTGCAGATCCCCCTGCTTCACGACTCTCGGTGCTCCCACGATTATTTCCCTGAAGGCCTGAAGTGTCCGTGACTGAAGCCAATCCCTAATTCCCGGCCATATGATGGTACATATGTTGATGTTGGTATTTTTATTTGTCAAGATGAGGTCCGATCTACAACTGGCGCTTGTGATACAAATACGAAACAGCGGAAATTTTAAGTTGTAGGTTAGGTTAGGTTGTAGGTTTGTAGGTTTTAGGTTATAGGGCCTGTTCCAGCGCCTCCAGAAACCTCCAGAAAGCTCCAGAAAGCTCTAGAATCCTCCAGAGAGCATTCCAGCGCCTCCAGAAAGCTCCAGAAAGCTCTCGCCAAAGCTCCAGAAACCTCCAGTAGCCTCCAGAGAGTTGGGAGGTCCAAATTTCTCTGGAGGCTCTGGTTTACAATTATGGCGCACATGTGACAATCACGAATGTAAACAAAGGACTTTTGACTGATTATTTTACAACTTGAATGTAAAGAAAATTACATTGCTATGATTTTGTTAATCTTTCTTATTAAAATTGAAAATAAATTTTGTGTTACAAGAGAGAACAATTGTCATTCTTTTGGTATCTGTGATGCCATTCTCCAGAAATCTCCAGATTGCGTTCCAGCACCTCCAGTGAAACCTCTGTAGAGCCTCCAGTCAAGAATTTCTACTGGAGGCGCTGGAACAGGCCCTATAGATTGGTAGGTGTGTAGGTTGGTACTTGGTAGGTTGTAGGTAAGGTTAGGTCAGGATTGATTGTTATTTCCTTTTATTTGCAAGGCATATAAGTGTCATTTTTGGATTCTGGATGTCAAATAATTTAATATTTTGAAAAATTATTCTTGAATTCTTTGTAGGACTTTATCTTGACCTTTACCCAGGGGGGTACGCTCCGGCTGTTTAGCATTACGAAAAGTGGTGACAGACGTTTGTGGAGGATTGTCGACGAACTCTTGTTCCGCGAGCAGCACTCACGCGCTAGCGGAAAATCCACCAATCAGCGCTCGGCAGTGCTCGACGCTGATTGGCCCGACGCTCGTGACGAAATTGCGGGGGACCGCAGTTGTTCTCTATGGACCCGAATAGGCTTTTGGATTTCGGAGGGGTTTCTTTAAGATTATATGCTGTTTCGAGCTGTTTTCGAGTTGAAATATATTTCTTATGACTGTTAGCTATATAATGGCACCATAAAATCATGATTTTAATTAATATTACCGATGTAATATCGGCCGAAAAGTCATGCTGTCTTGGCACGGACTGCCCTGCGGCTGATGTGGGGGCTCTAGTGCCAGCGTATGGTAATATAATGGGCTGACGAAGGATTATTGGAGACTCTTAGAGCCCCATCAGGATTCAGTATAGGGTCATCAGAGGCCGGGAACGTCCATCAGGGGTCTGAGTAGGCCTGCCATAGGGGCATACATGACACATCATGGAACATGGGTCAATCTAGATCCATTAGGGGCCGCTGAAGGGCCATCATTGTTCAGCGTGGGTCCGCAATTACCTCTGATGGGCATATGCCGTGCCCCGATGGACTAACACTGGCCCCTGATAAACCATCACCAGCCCCTGATAGGTCTACAAAGCCCCCTACTAGGTCTAAATTGGTCACTGATATGCCCAAATGGGCCACTGAGAAACCCGTACAACATCCCCTGACTGCACCTGATGGACCAATGCCGTCCCCTCATGGGCCCACCACGGCTCTTGAATGGCCTCTTCAAGTCTCTGAAGCGCCTTTATTGGCCTAAATGGACCCCTGATTGGCTTATGTGGTCCCTAATGGTCCCCCCATGAGCCATCAACGTCCCTAGACAGCCTTACATTATATGCCACCGGCCCCTGGTAGGCCTGCACTGGACCCACTGGGCCAATACCGGCCCATAAAGGGCCCATGTCGAGCCCTCATGGGCCTCCGATGACCACACGCCGGCATGTGTGGCCCCATCAGCAGTGGTCCGTCTATCCCATGTACTTACGGTCTTTTTGGCCGATGTGACACCGGTAGTATATAGAAATCCATAATTAAATGTCGTTATTATATAGTCAAAGGTCACGAAAAGAATATCCAAGCTCAAAAATGGCCTCAAACCCATCAAAAACTGATACAAATCCCCTTCAAAAGTCATAAGTCAATGAAACGCCATAGGGGAATAGCTGCAGTCCCCCGCAATTTCGTCACGAGCATCGGGCCAATCAGCGTTGAGTATTGCCGAACGCCGATTGGTCGATTTCCGCTAGCCTGTAAATGCTGCTTGCGGATATAGTCTTGAACAAGTGAGGGTCGCGGCAACTAAATATTGCTTGTCACCACTTTTTCTTCGGGAGCGTTCTACCTGGTTTATATAGCCTTGCCTTTACCCATGTGTCTGTCTATTATCCTGATGGTATACACTGCCTTGATCCTGATATGATGATACCCACAGATTCTTGTGTTTTTGCCAGTTGACTAGTTTTAGGATTTCGTCTGGAAAAAAAAACAATATGGGCCAGCCAAAGTTATATTTTCAGTTCCCTGTGTTTTGTTTTACCTGTTTCAAAGTGATGAGTTTATGACAGTTTCTTTTTTAAGATTTCTGTAGACAAATGAATAAGTATATGGTCATTACTTTTATGTAGTGGTGCTCTGTTTCAGCCAAGCCCACTGTACATTTCCACCTCTTCATGATGACATCCAAGAACAAAAAGAGGGACCTCTTCATGGGTGATGAGTACTGGAATGAATCATCAAGGAAGGTGACACCATTTGACTTTGATGATGACACTGACACCGATACTTTCATGACGATGGTGAGTCTGGAATGGGAGAAGCATAATCCCCCATTTTTTTTGTGTTTCATCAATGTTAGCAGTCAATTCTGCAATGACTTGTTGGCTATTTTACTACTGACTGGGACTGAGGCCAGTGTCACCCCAGTGGTTACTGGTTAGTGTTACACTGTATGACCCTGCTCACTGCAGTCAGCACTGCCTGTGAGTTTGTATGAATGCCTTGTTTTTATGTTGTTCACAGTTCAAAGAAATGCAGGTGCATGGTGAATCATCAGAAGAAGACAACATCATTGGATGGGATGGAAAGCCCATAAGTGGTTAGTTTTACAAATGTTTTGACAGTGTTTGAATGAAATGAAGGCTGAGACAATGTGGTATGAGCTGTCTATGTACTAATATAATTGTATATTTTTCATAAATTGTGCAGGCATTAATCATATTATTTCTTTACTTTCTCAAACTGCAAACATAGGTACATTGAAATGTTTGGTGTTCTAGTAGCTGAGTCTCATCTTGTCTGCATCACAGTGTCAGACTCCATCGTCAGTGCTGCTGCTGCAGCCCGACATCCCAACTCAGTCTCCGCGACAGTGCAGTCTGGTGGTGCAGTCTCGCCAGTCTCCAGTCCACTGGCCCGCTCTGCTACCCACCACTCAGCAGGGGACAGCCGCACCATCTCAGATGGTAAGTTGAAGGGTGTTCTGCAGAATGAAAGACATTGGCTCTCTCTCTCTCTCTCTCTCTCTCTCTCTCTCTCTCTCTCTCTCTCTCTCTCTCTCTCTCTCTCTCTCTCTCTCCGTCTCCGTCTCCGTCTCCGTCTCCGTCTCCGTCTCCGTCTCCGTCTCCGTCTCCGTCTCCGTCTCCGTCTCCGTCTCCGTCTCCGTCTCCGTCTCCGTCTGTCTGTCTGTCTGTCTGTCTGTCTGTCTGTCTGTGTCTCTCTCTCTCTCTCTCTCTCTCTCTCTCTCTCTCTCTCTCTCTCTCTCTCTCTCTCTCTCTCTCTTCTCGCTCTCTCTCCCTCTCTCTCCCTCTCTCTCCCTCCCTCCCTCCCTCCCTCCCTCCCTCCTCTCTCACCATCTGTCGTCGTCTCTCCCGTCTCCGGCAGCGCTGATCTCCGTTTCGGCGGCGCCGCAGGATCCCGCTCAGCTGGCTGCCGAGGTGGCCTTCCTGCGCCGCCGGCTGGCAGAGGCGCGCGAGGTGGCGCCGCCGCCGGCCGACACGGCGCGCCGACTGGCGCTCGGCGAGCCGTGCACTCTGGAGCTGTACCGGCCGCTCGCCGAGAAACGCCAGCTGCTGGCAGAGACGGTGGCGCTCGGGGATGGTGACGCCGTACTGGTGGTGAGTCGTGGCTTACAGAGGGAGATGGAGGGAGGCGACCATTCATGGAAACAGAGATGGAAGGAGATAGCCCTTCATGGTCACAGAGGACAGTTAGCGAACGGGGTAGCGTTTGACAGTTTGGGATCTAGCTATTACGGTAGGAAAATGAGATAGTGTGGCTACATTGTAGTCTTCTCTGCCGTCGGGAGGAAAAAAGCCGTAAGTCGCATTTTTATCGATTTTTCGTTTTTGATATCGTTGGAAAGCTCTTTTCATGATGCGTTTAATGCTACTGCTCAAACGTGTGTACACTCAAAAATGAAAATATTATATATAATATAAAAATTCAAAAACGGATTTGTTACATCAGGGATAGCAAAACACGCAGGAAGAAAGCCGTATCCTTAAATTCGGCAGATACGGCATTTATACAAAATTTCAAACAAAGAATGTGGAACTGATAAGTCGGGAAGAAAGCCGTATCTTGTAGTTACGGCTTTCATTTGATGGTGGCCTGTGAAATATGAGCCGAATCGTTGGTCCAGGCAGTTTGGAAGAAAGCCGTATCTACTCATTTAGCATGGCTTCGGCATATCCTGGACGGAACAGTTGAACATTTACACAAACATGCTACGTGATCGTAGCAATATGTGACCATTTATAGGGGAATTTTGATTGAAATAAAATAGGGAGTGAACTTGAGAAGTTTGAAGCCAACAGAACTTTGCCAGCTCGGTGGTGTCAGCAGAGTGCCGGGCATTCAGTATTTTGATGTGCTAACCAGCCGGGAGCGCCAGTATAATCCGACCGTTCTTTTCCCAACTTCGTTTAAAATTCCAATAAAAAATACCCGACGTAGCCTCCCCCATGATTAATTTGGCCTCCCTGTTCCCACCCCACCCCACAACCAAAATAGCATCATATTAAGTTCGACATCATAGACAATAGACATGCAGCTCGTACTCGTAGCCGGCACGCTTAGTACGACGACCTACAATCTTTGTCGTAAAACCGTTGAAGATATAGTTGAATACCGTGAAAGGTCGATTGCTATTGCCAACCTCGTCACATTCATTGTGATAATTGTGACCACGCCCATGTATCTTTGTGACCGTCATCCCCTGTCACTTCCATTCCTGGTCAATGACTTTACCGTCTTCTTTCCGGCTCCCTCATACCCATGATGCTCAATCATATTGGAAATTTAGGCTACCTTGTAGCACCCACACAAGCCCAACATTGTCATATTCTACGGGCAGCTGCCCAGAGCCTACCAGCACAGCTGTGGCCGGTGGAGGATGCAGCAAGGCGTACTGAATAGCCCTCTGCTCTGTTGCAGTAGGCGCTATAATCAGAGCCCTGTGAATACGAGTGCACATTGGGGGGCCTTTTGAGGGTGCGCCCTCTAAAGGGTGTTCCCGCAGACGTGTGGAGCTCTCAGCAGTCTAGCGATCTCCGACAATGAGGCGGCATTTGCTTGCTTACACCCTCAGCCGCGGCACAGTACTGTCGCCCTAGATGTTTCGCACAGGCTTTGTAGATGCAGTTTCTTTACGGGAATTCCTGAAGTTCTTACACCATCCTCTATTTTGGTTTAGGAGCCGGGCGGTTCCGTGCTTGTAGCTGCGCACCACGTGACTTAACAGCGTCCCTTTTCCGGGAACCTTGTGTCCAGCTAATCAGCAACATTCCCACTAATCGTCTCTTGCCCCCTTGAAGTGCTTTTAGGTCTGCAGATCGACGATGGGGAACTACACTATCTCGGTTCTCTCGACATTGTCGCCGTGGCTCCGGCGCAGCGGCAGACCGGCACACCCATCTCTCCGAATATATCAGTGGCTCAGGATTAACTCTGGAGCCCAGTGTAATCGAAAATTGAAGCACCGTACAAAGACAGCATTCGTGATTCCCCTTGTCGGTTGCAGGCACGTAGCCAGGATTTTGCTCAGGGAGGGGCCACAGGTCGCGGCCTAGTGTCGTGCCCCTCCAGAAAAGGAAAACTCCTCGGATTTGGCCCACTATCTTTTGGGGTGTGGTGCAGCTGTGGTTATTTTTTTAAGTTTTATTTTATTTTTCGCCTTTAGAGGGGGGCATGGCCCCTGTGCCCCCCCCCCTTGGCTACGTCCCTGGTCGGTTGGTCAAGCTGTCTTTTGATGGCACCCTGCGCAATCAGAATCCAAGAGCCTAAAGTTACGACAATAATGCGATTATGCATGGATGATGTAGTTTAAAATGGGTATCATGTTTGTCTTTGTATTGAACGTTCAATTAAATATCCATACTTGAGAGCTGAAGCAGTGGGACGGAACCAGCAGCGGAACTGCTTTAGTACTTTTATGAACCAATATGCAGTGTCAATACCATGCACCGATGATACTGCTTTTTGACGACAATATGATTAAACAAAAATGGCGATACGGCTTTATTCCCGATCGGTTAACCAATGTATCAGACATACGGCTTTTTTCATGACAGTATTGTTCAGGTGTCTCGTACGATGCGGCTTTCTTCCACGATACGGCTTTTTTCGTGAAAGAAAGATTCCGCAAACTCGGGGTTGAATTGGAAGTAAAAAAGTTTTCGCCTTTTGCTTTTAGGTTAAAATAATTTCCCTTTTATAACCACTTTCATTGGATGTAAAATATCTTTCCGATCACTGCAGTATGTTTTGTTTCGTTATTGAGCAAAGTTAACGAATTTTATAACAAAAAACGCGTTTTTGCCTCTCCTGAACAATTTTCAATTCGAAAAAGTGCCCCAGATACGGCTTTTTTCCTCCCGACGGCAGTTCTGCTGTATGACTTTAAGTCACATTTTTTTGGAAGCTGTGTGTGGAATGCCTGTACTCTGGTTTTAATCAGGTGTTGTTTGTTTTGCCTGCTCAGGTGGTGCTGTTCCTGAAGCGCACGCTCAAGCGTTCGCTGTTCGTGGCCGAGCTGCGCCGGCAGCCGGTGGCCTGTGAGCAGTACCTGGCCTACCTGAGGGCCCGGTTCAGTCACGCGGACGCGGCGGATCTGCTGGCAATGCTGGGTCGAGTGGAGGAAGCCGCCGTGAGTACTCGTTGGGAGAGGGATACCGCTGTCCTACGGAACCCTGTGTACTCGCGGGCATGGTCTCTGCAGATTATTGGCTACTGTTTGATTGATTTAACCCTTTTATCACGGATAGATTAAGGCCACATATCCGTATACACACTGATATATCGGAAAAGTATTCAGGTTCGAAGTATATAAAAGCGCGCCACTTGCAGTTGTTTTACCTACGTGGCCGTAGTATGAATCTAGCTATTTATCATGCTGTTTGACGGTACCGTTTTATGCACCGTGCTGTGTAGCGCTGAGGGTGTGTTCCGGCCGCCAGATGGTGCGTTACGAGTCGGCGGTGCGTGTGCGCGGCGGCGTGGAGCCGCAGCTGCGCGGCCTGCGCCACTGCCTGCAGGCGCACCTGGCGCCCGACCCGGAGCTGGCGCTCCACACCGGTCTGGTGCGCCAGCAGATCGACCTGCTCGAGCGCCAGCGGCCCGTCGAGGCGGCCGACGCGCCGGCGCGGCCCGACCTACAGCTGGTGGGTCGCTCGGTGCTGAGCACGCTGCACTACTGCTGTCTGCACCACTACAGCGAGCCGGCCAACCACCTGGCCAGCCCGGCGGCTCTGCGCGAGCGGCACCAGCTCACCGAGCGACAGTACACGTGGACCGCACTGCGCGCCCGCGCCTCGCTGCAGGCCTGGGCCGACGTGCAGGCACTCTTCACCAGCAAGGTAGGCGAGCCGTGAGGACAAACTCGGCGCCTATACATCATATGTTGTTAAAATTAAGTCTAGAGAATTTTTGACTGCCGATTGAAACATGCTTCTTCCTCCTTATAGAAGTGCTTGATTAGAAGTGGCTTTTTGATGCCTGCTTATTTCAGTCAACAGTTCTCCGATGAGAAAGTCACGGACATTCAGTTTACTACAGCTTTGCCTTGCATCTCGACTCCATGCGTTGTTCAGCCTCATAGGCTGTCAACTAACATCTCCGCCCCCTCTCCCAGACCTGGTTCAGCAGCGGCAAGCTGCGGCCCGTGGTGCCGTTCGAGGCGGCCGCAGAGGTCCTGGAGAGTTTCGGCGCCACGCTCGAAACACTCAGTCTCTACATCGCCTCCATCGACGGCACGGAGAAACGGCTCGAACACGCCAAAAAGTTCGGCTGCTACAAGATCGTCGTCGATGTGAGTACGGGCGCCAGTGGCAGCAATATTTCAATATCGATACTCGATAGCTATGTTCAGCAATTCTGTATCATGATAGTATCCATGAATATATTGCTTGTTTTCTTAATTATTCACTTATTCTTAGGATAACAACATTGATATTGTACCCTACGCTCGAAATGGTAATACCCTCTCCTCGCGGGTACCGTAATCTCCGCAAACACTAGACGACACTAATGGCCCGTCTCCGCCGTCTCAGGGGTACCTGTCGCAGAAGGACCGGGTGTCACTGGAGCAGTACCGCGCCACCCTCAAACCGCACTCGGAAGCCCACCAGTATGCCTCGGACGCACTCAGAGCCACGGTGAGTGTGAGGTGATGGGACTCAGTGTTGGAATTAACAGGTCTTTACATAGTTGGTGTAATAATTATAGGTATGTGCATAATTTCTCCTTGAGTGAGCTTGGGAGAATACATTTATTATCGTATAAGCATTTCAATAAAAAAAAAATGTCTATCGTATGTAGTTTCGGCTTCCCATCTCTTTCTACATTCGGTTTTCTGATTGCACAGCGCTGTAAGACCGGAACGTCTGTATGCTTACGTGAGGGATAGCAGGCACATTTGTGACCGGTTCGCATTTCATTACAGACGGTTCGATGGAAGAACTAGCCACTCAGATGTTGCCCTACGCCAAACTGACGGCGGGAGGGACAGGACCGGTGCCGTTTGGGTGACTCCTATACTATCGTTAGTGGGTGGATCACACTGACCAGTGATACTGTGATACCGTCCGTCTGATGAGTGATACAGTGATACTAACTGAAAAACGCATTACATCATTCCTGTATTTGTTCATGGGTATTCCGGCGGTTTTGCAATATTAATGAAAATTGATCTGAGGCCAGTTTTACCAACAGAAAAATAGCCGCCTGCCGGAATTTTTCGACTAAAGACCGCTTCACATGCGGAGCGTAAACGGTAAAGCCCTATTCACGTACGTGCCCATCGCGTTTGTGAAACGGTCTGTAGTAAAAAAAAAAATTCCGGCAGGCGGCTATTTTTCTGTTGGTAAAACTAGCCTCAGTGAAATTAAATTATGTGGTGGCTGTGGACTGTGGTATAGACTTATGCGTGTTGGTGAGGAGTGGGGACTTCTGATTTATGTTATTTTCGTTACCTATATGCTTTGCACTGCCATATATCACTTATCAGCTCAGTTATACATATTATGGACATGTTTATCTTTTGCACGTTTCTGATGTCTAGTTATTGTTGTTCGCTCTCGGTATTTTATACGCGTTGTTACCGAGTGGGCTGGTTATTCGTCATTCTGAACATCGATGCAATACGATACATTGCCTTTGAATTGTGAGGTTGTGAAGTGTGCACTGCGCTGTCAATCTGGCGGATTTACATAGTGAATAGTGATTCCGGGAAAACGGACAATTATTCGACTATGGTTGGGAAATCTGAAACCTTTGACGACTATGTGTCACTTCAGTCTAAGTTTTACCGCAAAAAGTTGTTTTCTGTGTCCCATGCTCTTAAAAGTAAAAACGAAAGATAACTCACACAAAACAAGTATCCTCTGCCCTGCAAATATTCTGAAATCCAACCCCTATATCATTTACTTGCAATATAAACAACTATTAGAAACTCAAATAATCATACAAAACTCCACTCAGATCCTTCGATAGATCCTTTCCATAACAAAACAGCATCACTCCCAGGCTTCAAAGCCTGTAGAGTGTGTAAAACAAATATGAGAGTTGACTGGTCACACGCCGTCCGGCTGTGTTGTGCGTATTATGCGTCGGTTCCATTTGTACGAGGGCTCTTGTCGCTGTCATCCGAACCCCGGAGTAGCTCTGTCCTGTCCGTCTCGCTCGGCAGGTGATTCTGATACGCTGATGATTCTCCGCCACTTCGCCGCCAATCTGCAAGGAACGAGGCCAATTATTGTCCGAACCCCGAGGTGTCCCCGCTCCTCGTCCGTGTGGGAATAATACCAGACTTTTTGGGGGGTCCATAGAATAGATCATCAGGATTTCATGACCTACAAGGCCAAAATCACACCAACAACGTGAACGGACACCGAACGAAACAAATGTCTTTTCAGAATATCGAAGTTGTATAGTGTATTGTAGGGTGAAGTCGTATAAGAGTACGCACTTAGTGGATTTCTTGCTCTCGTTTGTTTAATATTTGAAGGAAAGAAATCGCAAATAGGGAATATTTAAGTTCATTGAATTAGCCATGAACCCATGGGGCAACGATCCTTCAGCGTAAATGGAAGTGGTCTAAAACTGACATTTTCTGAACCGTTGCACTTGCGTACTCTTACCATATGGGGTGTGTAAGAGTACGCACGCCAGGCGGGTGGAGTACGCAAGCATATGAACACACACCTATGCAGCTTGCACTGTCCAAATGCTTAAAGGGACCCTCCCACCTTAACATTAGATTTGAGTTGAGATAGACGTCTGTCAAGACAGCCTCAGATTCAGATTCACTTTCAGAATCACATTCGGACCCCCTTAGATTTTCATAAAAACTGGTCCATGGGTACAGTTTTGGACGCTGATTCCAATGGTGAAGTCTGTTTTTCGCCACATATTATACTTTGTCCCCTAGAGGCATTCAAAGTTTTTTTTGGGTCGAAGGGGGACCCCCTTAGATTTTCATAAAAACTGGTCCATGGGTACAGTTTTGGACGCTGATTCCAATGGTGAAGTCTGTTTTTCGCCACATATTATACTTTGGCCCCTAGAGGCATTCAAAGTTTTTTGGGGCGAAGGGGGACCCCCTTAGATTTTCATTAAAACTGGTCCATGTGTACAGTTTTGGACGCTGATTCCAATGGTGAAGTCTGTTTTTCGCCACATATTATACTTTGGCCCCTAGAGGCATTCAAAGTTTTTTTGGGGCGAAGGGGGACCCCCTTAGATTTTCATAAAAACTAATCCATGTGTACAGTTTTGGACGCTGATTCCAATGGTGAAGTCTGTTTTTCGCCACATATTATACTTTGGCCCCTAGAGGCATTCAAAGTTTTTTTTTGGGCGAAGGGGGACCCCCTTAGATTTTCATAAAAACTGGTCCATGAATTGATGAAATACTAGGACTTACTCCACAAGGAGATCGAATGGGTCGGAGCGCTTTCAATATGTATTATACATATCGTCGTCAGCGAATCAATAACAACCTCTTCGATACCCGACTCGATTCGACCCGTTATTGATTCGCTGACGACGATATGTATAATACATATTGAAAGCGCTCCGACCCATTCGATCTCCTTGTGGAGTAAGTCCTAGTATTTCATCAATTTAATTCCATCTCCACATCATGTCATTACGTCAACTGGTCCATGGGTACAGTTTTGGACGCTGATTCCAACGGTGAAGTCTGTTTTTCGCCACATATTATACTTTGGCCCCTAGAGGCATTCAAAGTTTTTTTGGGGAAGGGGGACCCCCTTACATTTTCATAAAAACTGGTCCATGTGTACAGTTTTGGACGCTGATTTCAATGGTGAAGTCTGTTTTTCGCCAAATATTATACTTTGGCCCCTAGAGGCATTCAAAGTTTTTTGGGGCGAAGGGGGACCCCCTTAGATTTTCATAAAAACTAATCCATGTGTACAGTTTTGGACGCTGATTCCAACGGTGAAGTCTGTTTTTCGCCACATATTATACTTTGGCCCCTAGAGGCATTCAGATTCACTTTCAGAATCACATTCGGACCCCCTTAGATTTTCATAAAAACTGGTCCATGGGTACAGTTTTGGACGTTGATTCCAATGGTGAAGTCTGTTTTTCGCCACATATTGTACTTTGGCCCCTAGAGGCATTCAAAGTTTTTTTGGGGCGAAGGGGGACCCCCTTAGATTTTCATAAAAACTGGTCCATGTGTACAGTTTTGGACTCTGATTCCAACGGTGAAATCTGTTTTTCGCCACATATTATACTTTGGCCCCTAGAGGCATTCAAAGTTTTTTTGGGGGCGAAGGGGGACCCACTTAGATTTTCATAAAAACTGGTCCATGGTTACAGTTTTGGACGCTGATTCCAATGGTGAAGTCTGTTTTTCGCCACATATTATACTTTGGCCCCTAAACGGCATTCAAAGTTTTTTTGGGGGCGAAGGGGACCCCAAAAAAATTTGAATGCCTCTAGGGGCCAAAGTATAATATGTGGCGAAAAACAGACTTCACCATTGGAATCAGCGTCCAAAACTGTACACATGGACCAGTTTTTATGAAAATCTAAAATCTAATCCCTTCGCCCCAAAAAAACTTTGAATGCCTCTAGGGGCCAAAGTATAATATGTGGCGAAAAACAGACTTCACAATTGGAATCAGCGTCCGAAACTGTACACATGGACCAGTTTTTATGAAAATCTAAGGGGGTCCCCCTTCGCCCCAAAAAACTTTGAATGCCTCTAGGGGCCAAAGTATAATATGTGGCGAAAAACAGACTTCACCATTGGAATCAGCGTCCAAAACTGTACACATGGACCAGTTTTTATGAAAATCTAAGGGGATCCCCCTTCCCCAAAAAAAAACTTTGAATGCCTCTAGGGGCCAAAGTATAATATGTGGCGAAAAACAGACGAAAAACAGACTTCATCGTTGGAATCAGCGTCCAAAACTGTACCCATGGACCAGTTTTTATGAAAATCTAAGGGGGTCCCCCTTCGCCCAAAAAAAAACTTTGAATGCCTCTAGGGGCCAAAGTATAATATGTGGCGAAAAACAGACTTCACCATTGGAATCAGCGTCCAAAACTGTACCCATGGACCAGTTTTTATGAAAATCTAAGGGGGTCCGAATGTGATTCTGAAAGTGAATCTGAATGCCTCTAGGGGCCAAAGTATAATATGTGGCGAAAAACAGACTTCACCATTGGAATCAGCGTCCAAAACTGTACACATGGACCAGTTTTTATGAAAATCTAAGGGGGTCCCCCTTCGCCCCAAAAAAACTTTGAATGCCTCTAGGGGCCAAAGTATAATATGTGGCGAAAAACAGACTTCACCATTGGAATCAGCGTCCAAAACTGTACACATGGACCAGTTTTTATGAAAATCTAAGGGGGTCCCCCTTCCCCCAAAAAACTTTGAATGCCTCTAGGGGCCAAAGTATAATATGTGGCGAAAAACAGACTTCACCGTTGGAATCAGCGTCCAAAACTGTACCCATGGACCAGTTTTTATGAAAATCTAAGGGGGTCCCCCTTCGCCCCAAAAAAAACTTTGAATGCCTCTAGGGGCCAAAGTATAATATGTGGCGAAAAACAGACTTCACCATTGGAATCAGCGTCCAAAACTGTACCCATGGACCAGTTTTTATGAAAATCTAAGGGGTCCGAATGTGATTCTGAAAGTGAATCTGAATCTGAGGCTGTCTTGACAGACGTTTGAGATAGCCAAAATGGGGTCCCTGGCTCACAATTACCGGTTTCGGCACTCACAACATCGAGAAATGCCTTAAATCGGAAATATTGAATTTCAAAATTGCAGCATTTTGATTCAGAGGGGCTAATGCTTAGGAATACCCCTCTGAATGTGTGACGTCAGCGCAAATATCTAACGATTTTTAAATGTTTGACTAAAACGTTTTGTAGCACGCGGTGGTATATGCTATTTGCGCGCAACATCTGCCGCAAACGCCGCACTTCTAAAATAAAGTCGCTAGAAACAGCGGAGATCCCAAAAAAGTAAACAAAAGTAAAAGTCTAATATCTTGAAAACCGGTGAATATTTTTCGGTGAAATTTGGTAGATATTCGTTTTCGCTCTTTCTGAACCGAGCGACATCACTTTCATGCCAATTCATAAACTTTTTTTGAAGGTGGGAGGGTCCCTTTAACTTCAAACTCAGAAGGCATTTAAGTTAATTCAAGTATCCAAAAAGAAAAACATAAAATAAATCTTTCAAGTCTATAAATCAGGAAATAATCATGTCGTGTGTTAAAAAAAATGCACAATCAAAAAGGAGAATAACTCGTATTTGGAAGAATTTCGGGTACGCATCTGCATCACAGTGCTCCATTGATGATATACCTAAAAAACAAACGTCATTGAGCGATAGATTAATAATTCTATATTTCTGTATATTCGATTTTATGTATAATTCTGCGTACTCTTACCCTCCTGAACAGTGCGTCCTCTTACCGTACATGCAATTCGCGCACAAAACAACCCCGAAACGTTGTGCAAAACTTCGCAAACAGAATATTGCACTGTACAGTATTTCCCCAGATTACCTCACAAGTTTCCGACAACAATCACGGAAATGTACCTTATCTCAACCGCCAAGTATCAAAATTATTGTACCATATCATAATAATATCATAACGCTCGA